CACATGTATTTGTTCTTTGTGATATTTTTATTATCATAACTGATATAAACTGATCGATCAGATTTTCATGGAGCTGATGAGTCTGACTGTAAACAACTACTTCCTCATTCAGAGGTCAAAGTTCACTTCTCACCTCAGACTCCACCTCCAGGATGACGTCTCCAGCAGAGGGCAGCTCCTTCCACCCGACCACTTCCACCGCACAGCTAGGCCCCGCCTCCATCAGCGCTCGCCCGTTCTCGTCAAACAGGAGACGAACTTTAGCCCAACTCTTTCCCGCCACGAGGACACAACCTCGCTTCAGTGTCCCCCGCTGCACGATGGTCGTCGTCACAGGACTGAGGAGACACATGACGGGTTATTAACTTTTTAAAGCGACAGAAGAGCGTTTGATGACATCACAGACGTGTTGTCTCACCCTTTGCCTTTGTCAGTACGACTCTCGATGACGAATCCCTCGACGAGGCCGCTCGTTTCCGCCTTCAGCTCCAAAACCTCAGCCAACGCCACCGTGGCCTCGGTCAGAGCGAGCAGGTTGTCTCCCTGACAACAACATGACATCATCATCTGACGGCCTGCAGGGAGCGCTACAGTTCACGTGTCACTAACCCACATGTTCTTTAGCTGATCAATAAATATGGATACATATGTATATATATATAGAAAGAAAACCATTTACTTTCATAAATTAACTTCAGAATATTCAGGTTTTATCTCTAAACTGTATTTGGTCGCTCAGACGCCTCCTCAGCCGTAGAATCGAGGTCCTGCCCCTTATTTATTTAATTACCGGGTGAGTCTCAGCTGTCAATCACGATGTCTCAGACATTTAAACATTGACTTTATGGTTGTGACCTGTACTGCAGCTAGGGGGCGATCCAGACAATTTGGGGAGTTGTCATATCATCGATTTTTATTTACAATGTGTCACCGTGACGGCTGAACTGAAACGAGATGTCAGCAGCGGCCAAGCTTGCTAATGTGTCACCTTCAGGGCGGAGATGTGGATCGTCTGAATGTCTCCTCCGAACTCCTCACACACGACATCGTGAGCGAGCAGCTCCCGTTTAACACGATCAGGATCCGACTGAGGTTTGTCACATTTATTCACCGCCACGATGATTGGAACTGAAACACACACACGATGATTGGAACTGAAGCGTGCACGCACACACACGCACACACACACACACACACACACACACACACAC